CACGCTTACCTGTGGAAGGATAGCTGATGTGGATGTTTATAATCCAATTTCTTACAAATTCTGCACTGTCTAACCATATTCACACCTTAAAAGTTTATCCAAAATACATGTATAAACACTAATCACGTTTCACTTACTAAAATCACAACTATTTTCTAACAAGAGACGTCATATTCTGCCAACCACGGCAGAACGAACGAGGAACACGCTACAAATTATTGCGTAGTTGCCAAGTCTTCAAGCATGGCAAATATGGAAAATGAAAAATAGTTTAATATGTGCAGAATTTAACAATATTGTATGCATAACTTAATAATACTATCCTATAATAATAATTTTCGCAATTGTGATGAAAATTGCGATAAAAATATTAAGTATATTTCCAGTATAATTATACAGCTGACAACAATGATACAATTAGACTGTGAATAGACGAGGCATCATCCAGAAATGTAAATAAATAAGTCCCCTTTATTTAAATGTCCTTGGATTGAACTGAATAGAATTACTGGATGATCAGATGGAGTAAACAAGCTCCGACTTGCGCGACGTCGTTACGGCGACAAGACGGTCAGTGTTACCCCAACGTCTGACCACACTACAGCTGTTGTCTGTTGTTCAATTTAGTTCTTTTCTACATTATATTTGTGTGACTAAATGCACAGGAAGAGTCGTGATAATAGTAAGCAAAGTTCAAGCACCTATTTATAAAAAATTTGAAGTAAATTAGTTCTATTTTTTAAAAATGGACATTTGAAATTTTGTTTCATGAAGAAAGCCAGAAATTCTGCAATGTATCTACAAAAATAAATGCTGGACAGTGTTGCCCCAGTGTGAATACTACTAGTCATACGTAACCGTTGAGTGAAGAAACTCACTCACTCAACGACGTAACTGACAGACGAACATGACGAAGCTCAACTTAAAGCTAAGTACAGACTTGCAACATTAATACGAGCTGAACGGCGCGGCGGTGCGAACTGCGCTCCGAACCACACCTCGAATAATGTTCCAAAAAATGTAGCGCTGAGCGCCGAACAGAACGTGTTTTTGCACACGTTCGTATCGTTTCCATTAATTTAGTTTGAAAATCGTCATGAATGCAGCTGCAGCAGCTTATATTTATATCCATAACGAAGTATTAGCCAGGAAAAAACGAGAAAACGTAGAAGATGGTGGCAAATGCACCTCTATGCAAAAAGACATCAAGAACACTCCAATTTGCTTCGAGATTTGCAGTTTCAACATGTCAGTGGGCGTTACAAAAATTTTGTGATAATATCCCCTATTGATTTTCAGCATCTTTTAAATGGCATAGGACCTAAAATAAGAAAACAGGACACTTCATCGTTGCTACTAAATAAACGGCCGTTGTTCGCCGAAATATCTGTCGACGTGTCCAGACTTGTGCAACGTCGAACCGCGCAATTCCTTTGATGCGACGTCGAAAAACCGACTTCAAATGGATCGAGTGAGAACCGTTCGTCGATCGGAAATATGCGCGGTTCGGGGTTCTAGTCCCTGTCCACACAGCAACGGCGCGGTCCGCGGAGCGGTTTGCAACGCGGCGCAAGTCTGTACTTAGCTTTATACTTCTTGTAGTAACAGTACGTCGGTACCGGCAGTCCAAACAGATTCCTGTTTTTTTAATAATTATTATTATTATTTATTTACAGTGTCTATAAAATGCTTGGAAAATGAAAATTAAACTTGGTGTAGAATGGTAGATGTTCTTTATTATAAAATTTTCTATCCAGTTTTGTATTTATGAGATTATGGGTTTTCTTNGCTTCGAGACTTGCAGTTTCAACATGTCAGTGGGCGTTACAAAAATTTTGTGATAATATCCCCTATTGATTTTCAGCATCTTTTAAATGGCATAGGACCTAAAATAAGAAAACAGGACACTTCATCGTTGCTACTAAATAAACGGCCGTTGTTCGCCGAAATATCTGTCGACGTGTCCAGACTTGTGCAACGTCGAACCGCGCAATTCCTTTGATGCGACGTCGAAAAACCGACTTCAAATGGATCGAGTGAGAACCGTTCGTCGATCGGAAATATGCGCGGTTCGGGGTTCTAGTCCCTGTCCACACAGCAACGGCGCGGTCCGCGGAGCGGTTTGCAACGCGGCGCAAGTCTGTACTTAGCTTTATACTTCTTGTAGTAACAGTACGTCGGTACCGGCAGTCCAAACAGATTCCTGTTTTTTTAATAATTATTATTATTATTTATTTACAGTGTCTATAAAATGCTTGGAAAATGAAAATTAAACTTGGTGTAGAATGGTAGATGTTCTTTATTATAAAATTTTCTATCCAGTTTTGTATTTATGAGATTATGGGTTTTCTTCGACAATAGCAGAAATATTATCAATTCAATAAAAATCATGTACCTATTACTCGTATTTTCAGACCTATGATGGGGAAATGCAATTTAAAAAATATAATTTTAGTGTTCTATTTAAAATTTTGAAGTTGATCTCACATAAAAAAATAATAAAGTAAAATTGGATTAATTGATTGAAAGTATAAACCAACAAATTGCATTTCCATTGCAGTAAACGCTTTTGTTTGGAGGTAGGTTTTGCCCGTCTAAAACTTCGTGAGATATATGTTTTAAGCTTCTAAATACACATCACAATTTTGATTTGCCCCTCCCTGGAAAATTTTTCTGCGGACGCCCATGGTGTAAAACTATGTATACAAATTTAGAAATGGCAGATATGCATTTAATTTGCATATGGAAATGCAAATAGAGCTAAATATTTATATCAAGAAACATTTCTTAACCATTACCATCTGAACACCGGAAATGGAAGAGGCTGTATTAGTAGATATCGAAAATAATCCGCAGACTAGCACAAGAGACATTGCACGTGGTCTTCAAGTGAATCATTTGGAAAATTTTGAAAGGCCAGTTACTATATCCTTATCACATTCAACGTGAACAAGAACTTATTCGTATAATTGTCCCTGCCAAATAGAAGTATGTATGTCGATGGATGCAAAACATGTTAAACCAGAACATTTTTAAGCTACCTATTGTTTTCTACTATTGAGATTTGATGGCCATAGTTATACAGAATTCCTACAATCAGATGAATAAACTCGTGGAAGATGTTTCAATTGTAACTAGCCCCAATTCATTTCAGTAGAGTTGCCAATAACTGGTTCAACGTTTGGCCTGTTCAATCAGCCGATTTAAATCCGCTTGATTTCTTTTCATGGGACCACCTCAATTCCACTGTTTTGAAACAGTGGCGTAGTTTTTCGGAGGGTTTTAATAACAACGTTCCCCCGAATCTCCGCCTCTAATTCGCAGATTTATATAGAAATATACCGAATTATTCCCTTCACTTAGTTCAATTCAATTTTGTTAATATACGTTAAAAAACTTCTGAGATAATTTTTTAATAACAACGTTCCCCCGAATCTCCGCCTCTAATTCGCAGATTTATATAGAAATATACCGAATTATTCCCTTCACTTAGTTCAATTCAATTTTGTTAATATACGTTAAAAAACTTCTGAGATAATTTTTTAATAACAACGTTCCCCCGAATCTCCGCCTCTAATTCGCAGATTTATATAGAAATATACCGAATTATTCCCTTCACTTAGTTCAATTCAATTTTGTTAATATACGTTAAAAAACTTCTGAGATAATTTTTTAATAACAACGTTCCCCCGAATCTCCGCCTCTAATTCGCAGATTTATATAGAAATATACCGAATTATTCCCTTCACTTAGTTCAATTCAATTTTGTTAATATACGTTAAAAAACTTCTGAGATAATTTTTTAATAACAACGTTCCCCCGAATCTCCGCCTCTAATTCGCAGATTTATATAGAAATATACCGAATTATTCCCTTCACTTAGTTCAATTCAATTTTGTTAATATACGTTAAAAAACTTCTGAGATAATTTTTTAATAACAACGTTCCCCCGAATCTCCGCCTCTAATTCGCAGATTTATATGGAAATATAGCGAATTATTCCCTTCACTTAGTTCAATTCAATTTTGTTAATATACGTTAAAAAACTTCTGAGATAATTGAATAAAAGTAATAATTTTCAAAAGCTTAACATCTTGTCATGAAAACTTTATTGTAGTGTAACAAAGATTATTTTATTATTAGTTTAGCATTACTTAACTTTAATTATTTTCAGTTGTTCGACACCTTAAAAAAGTTTAACCCTGCAGCTATTCAGAAATTGGTACCAATATGTGGAGATGTAATGGAACCCGGTCTTGGTAAGTAAACTATTTGCCACCATCACTTCCGATAACAAAAATATTATATCATCTTTGCAACTGCGTACTCCTCGAAGATATTGGAAAAGTACTTTTGAATCTAATCAAAATAACAATTGAGCTTTTCCTGCCAGAGATATGGATATCAACCTTATTTTTTAATAGAACACTACACAGAGTGTCCCGATAATTGATACAAAAAGTCGAGTACCCATAGATGAGGCCAAAATAATATCAGTTCTTCTTATATATTTTTTTTTCATATGGACCTTCGTTAACAAGTTACGGGCCCTCAAAGGTGAAAATTAAAAAGTTATTTTTATTTACAGTCTAAACTATTAACTTCAGCATGATGCAAATTTGGTGATCGGTAACACATGCGTACAGCTTGTTACTGATGTTGTAAGTGAAACTTCATTATCCTCAGTACGCCAGGGACGGACTATGCCCAATGGTTAACAACCCACAATTTTTGCATAGATGGCGATCGCAATCTGCCTGTATCAAAAATAAGCTCCATGAAGAATTTGCCAACGATAATACCTTCTTGGTTCATCTCGGTAAAATTAACAATAAATATTTCTGATTTTTTGTTTTAATTTTTAATTGGGCATAGTTACTATGTTAGAACCGTACATATTTTTAAAATAAGGGAATAGAAAATCTTGCTGTCTGCTAATGTAATTTTCACTAACAAAATTTGACAAGCACAATTTACACATAACACAAAATAAAAAACGAAGATGACGAACTAGAAAATAAAATTGTTTGATTTAAAATTTTACGTACAGCTACCGAAAAACAATTGCATTTTCATGGCTTACTAGAGCGATGTTACATGTTAATAATATTTCTAAAACTAACAAATACAGGGTGGTCCGAATTTTATGCAGGAAACTTCGAGGGCAGATAGATCTCTTTAAATAGTAGGTATTTGCCTTATAAACATAGATCTAGAACGGCATCGTTTTAGAGATACAGGGTATTGAACTTGTAAAAAAAATTGATTTTGTTTATATCTCCGGAATCTATTAACCGATCTGAATAAAATTTCCCTAAAATATGAGCTCTAAACGTTCAGCCAGTAGTGTGCAACTGGACAGGGGTTACCTCTTTTTTATAAAAAAAACCTACGCCACTGTATTTTTTACAAGTTATGCAACGGATTTTTATTCTAATGCACTAAATACGTAAAAAAGGTAACTCGAATTTTTTCCCTAAGATTCGCCGTTCTCAAGTTATTCATACCAATACAATCCCCTTATGGCAGACACTTCAAACCATAATATTACAAAAATATTTATGTTTATGCTTAAAAGTAAGTGCAATTTGTAAGCAGATCAACAAAATTCTTTCCACATCATCTGTGAGGTAGTGTTCCTAGTGCGTTTTAGATTCCCCTGGAGGCCTAATCAACTATTTTCACAAATAAGAACAATTTAAATCGAAATAATAATAAAAATATATTTACCATGCAACAACAACTAAACAAGAAACAAAGTTAACGTTACGTATTTACGACAATTGTTCATAATGCGAACCATCCACATCGATACATTTCTGACATCTTCTATATTAATGGAACTAATTGAAGCTAATATCATGTGGTGGCTTTCTTTCGATTCATTACACCCGTCTTCTATTCCCTGCAGTAGTTGTGGTCTTGTATTTATTGAAGTAGAGTAAACTTTACTTTTCAGATAGGTAACCCCAAATATAGTCTAGGGGGTTTAGATATGGCAATCTGGCTGGCCAAGACCCTGAACCCTCTGCACCATTATGGTTGACATTGGCATTTGGTTGTATTATTCTCCTAAAAGGTGCAGGAGCACCATCCATTTGTATCCAGCTATTTTGTGGTATATTTAATGGAACATCCTCTAATAATTCAAATAGATGGTTTTCTAGAAAGTTTAGAAGTGACTGGGAATTTAGATTGGGTGGCAAGGAGAACCATCCACAAACTTTATTGCGAATTATTCCGAGCTACACTTTCACAGAAAATTCGTGTCCGAATTTCACGAGAATTTTCTTTTGACCAAATATTGTGAAAATTCACTACCCCTCGCCTTGTGAGCGTAGCCTCTTCGCTCCAAAGTATTTCTAGTAAGAGTTCTAGATTATGTTGTGACTAACAACCACTGACAAAAATTCAGGCGTTTCTCTGCATCTCCCGGAAGTAAATTTTGCACAGGTTATAATTGGTACGGATTTCTACCATCCTTACGTAGAACTTTTCAAATTTTCGATTGCGTGATACTGGGGAAAACCTTCACGGATACGTTTCAACTTTAAAGGAGATGATTCTCTGACGAATGGTTTTCTCGATTTAAAAGTGGTCGTCAGCCACGTTGAATATTATCCTCGACCAGTAAGGCCTTCGAGTTCAACTGATGACTCTCACGACCAGAAAGTCAAAGATCTGGCGCATGCAAATCGCCGATTGACTGTTGAGAAATTGCGGAGGAGGTTAGCATCTCATTTGAGTCATGCCATGAAATTTTGATAGAAAAATTGAACATGCATCGAGTTGCAGAAAAATTTGTTCCTCATTTGATGACCGAACAACAGAAAGAAAATC